ATGCAAGTTAACAAGTTCAGGAGTCCATCAAAACTAAGCTCCAACTATGGCACTACTTCATATTATTCCACAGCTTTTCCAAAGCTTTTCTTGCTAGACATTACAGTGAAATTCATGGCTCCATTTAATAGCATCGCTTCAAAGCTAATGGAGTACTATATGTACTTTCTGATACAGCAGAATTTCAGTTTGTTTTTCTTGGAAGGAAAAAAAAAAGTTTTAATTCTGACAAAATGTAAAACACCTGATGTATTCTACATATGGCAATAAGCAATGACTATTCGAGCTGATGACTCTTCTGCAGCTCATCAGTCATCTACCACAACCCTTAGAATGAACTAAAGTTTCAGAATGCAAGTATTTTTCATACTCAATTCTTCAACTTTTGTTTCCCTGATACAACTCTACAATTTTCGTATTATTTCTTATATTTGCATTTGCTATCAAAAACAACATGAAGGGAAGTAGCATATAACAGAACCTCTAACTCGGTAAACCAATAAAAATGGAGATAAAATTGAAAGCCGAAAATGAGGACCCATAACTATGGGCAAGCATACCACCTCTGGTGTGCATGGTAGCGTAAGGCAGATGCTCATAGACCTTTGTGGTACCACAGTCCATCCCACACTCCAGAAAAAGCTCTCCCCTAACCTCTGTCCATAACAGTGTTCTTCAAAAGAAGCTAAAGAAAACAAAAGACAGCAATAACAACAAAAAAACATCTTTTAAAGTAGGCCTGACAGCAACCCTGGATATAGTGGTCACTTTTATCATTTATAAAGCTTAAATCCACTTTCTAGACCCCAGTGCTGTGAAAGGTTATGTGCCTTCACTGATGAGCTTCCCTGTTGCTACCCTAATAGTTCAGAGACTGCAGCAGGACCTGGGTACTGCCACAGAAGTCCTAGGGCTGTGCACACACAGAAAGAGGACTGAAAGGGTCCCCACAGCAACACTTTTTTTTTTTTTTTTTTAAAAGTGTTAGAGTCTTGTTTCAGAGCATTTCCACAAACTCTTGCATTTTCTTGAAGAATTTGTAATTCCCATTACACCAACTGGTGCACATTTGTCAGCAGCCCACAACAACTCCGGGCAAACACATGCTGCTGAAAATGGACGTGAACCTTTGTACATAAAGAGTAGACAGAAGCTCAGTTCTTAAGTCCATGTAATGTTTCATCATCCAAATGGGGGACTTCTGCACTCCACTTTTACTTCGCTAACACATTCACACCACTCTCTCTTTCCCCAGTCCTCCTAAAGATTTACATTCTTCTCAATGCTGATAAAGTAGACTTCACATAGGTAAAAAGGCCAAATTCTTTAGCATTAAGAGCCTTTAAAGCACCTCCTTGCCTCAGATCTCAGTTTCTTCAGTATGACTACCATTATAACAGATTAAGCTCTATGAGCTTAGTATAATGTCTATGAGCCATCATTCAACAAACAAAAAATAAATATTTAAGCTTTGTTAGATAAAGTAATTTTGACTTTTCCAGGTGGATTGGCTTTTTGAACAGTTTCTGCCATTCAAAAACAGTGTTGAATTAAAACTAGAATGTTGTTAAAAGCTGCTAGCCCTTATTGAACTACAGCCATTATAAATAGCCTCAAACAAAAGAAGCAAAATTACAAAACCCAGTTAAAAACCTCATGATGGTTGGGAAGTAATTGCGTGTCTTGCCTTTGAGTTTCCTCAGAGCCTTAGCAATCCAAAGCACATTGACACGTTCCTTTCACAACTCAGTGAAAGCCATGACGTTCAACGGCACTCGCCTATGCAACTTGTCAACGTCTTGCAACGGTGGAGTGGAAGCCACGTATGTCCTCAAAAGGAGAGGCAGAGGAGTTGATTGACAAAGCTGCAGCTCACTGATCCATGCAGGGCCTTTATAATTAGTACTAAATATATGGAAAAGCAAAATAATGCACATCTTGAATTAACTTAAATATTAATTTTACCCTCCACATATAATATGCCATCCTGTGGGAGCGATGAGCTAATTCATCTGCTCTTTTTCCAGCTCTATGACAGTTAATGCAGAGTCTGTGGGTTCACCTCAAAAATATACAGAAACTCGCCTGCTAACACAAGCTCCATTTGTTTTGCCATTTTCAGTTGTGAAGTTTTAACTAGTTAACACCAACTAGCTCACATACTTAATCCACAACTTCTATCATACATGTTTTCATAGGTTAAAATTGAGATAGTTGCTTACTTGTGCACCTAACCAACTCCATGCCCAACTCCACCTACGAAGCAGAGCAAGAGTCCAAAGAGCAATAACGGATTCAGAAAACAACTGTGGATACTAAGGAATTAAAAAATGAAAGCACACTGGGGAGGCTGTATTTATTCAGAGAACATCCACCGTCTTGAGCTGACTCCCCATCCAGCCATCCGGCCGGGAGCTCGGCACTTTTATGTAACGCCTCAGGGTTGGAGTACTTTCCCTGTCTTCGTTTCTCACATCTTCAGTATTAGTTCCAATGCTTTATCACTGCTCTGAACAAAATGCCACTGATGTAATGGCTGTTTTGCCTAAATAAAGAATTCCAGACAGGGAATTCATTGCAAATGTTCAGGTCATACCAGCAAGACCATCACAAAAGCACTGAGAGCAATAAAATCTAAAGTGTTTCATTTCCCCTTGCTTTCAGATAACTGTAAACAATGTTAAACAGTAGGATTTTCCTTTTGCAGGAAGGATTGTGCTTTGAACACTGAAATCTGTTTTGAAGAACGCTCTTTAAAGAGCTGCTTTTAGCAGGCATATTACATAAAGGGGCACTTATTTAAAGAAAGAGGTTAAAACCAAGTTCAGCATTTATAATTCTGTAAAATAACCCTAGTAACTCAGCAAAATATCCTCGTGTCTTGAAGCTGAATGTAATTTATGCAGACCAGAACTGACTGCCATTAATGCAAACCACTAATGCACTCACCCCAAAGTTCTCAAGAGAAAGATATATCCATTCACACTTCACACATTTACCTGTCTTGGATATCTCTTCAAATTACAAACATAAATAAGCTATTTTTGAGACTTTCTGAAACGTAATTTGTTGGAGATGATGTGTTTGAAGAGGTAGAAGAACCTCTTTTCACCTGGATTTCAGCAACAATGTTCTGCAAAACTTCAAATGATAACTGAGGAAGACGAAGTTGCTGCAGCCCGTAACAGTCCTTCCCCCAAACTTTGGGAGGTCTTGCCCACCAGGCAGAACAGGACCTGCACACAGCTGCTGGTCTTACTCATTTCTAGGCTCAGTTTCTGAAATTGCATCACATATCTAGGCGTTTTTTTCTCAAAGAGCTCTAGCCAAAGGCAGGTGGTTTATCTCTATGCACGTCATTCTAGATGAAGTTTCATCTGCCATTCAGAATACAAAATAAAGAAATGAAAGCTTGAAGTAAGATCTATTTGCTTGCTCAGTAAGAATGAAAGTGCTTCAGAGAAACAATAGAGCATTTGCACCAAAATAAACAGATTAAACATTTAAACGCAAGCTTCGTAATCCAAACTGTAGGTGTGATTACATTAACTTTTTTTTTTTAAGTGAAGTTTACTTAATTATTTTTAAAAACAGACCTACAGCTCTATGCATTATTTACAGGCTTTTAACTACAAGCCTTCCTCCAGCCCCACAAATTTTTAATATTGGATTTCGTTTACTCAGCCTCCTGCTTTTAAATAACTGATTTTTATATTGATGCAATATAGAAACAGAGCATGTAATGCACTTCACCTGTCATTTATGAAAAGCATTTGATGTGTTACTGCATTTTGCAAACACTTCAGAAGTGTATCTGCAAATTCATTATTTTTCGTGTGTGTTCACACAATATGGGGGAGGTATCTCAGACATTGATTTGAAAAAAACTCCTACGCAGTCTTTTTTTAGAAGGAAAAATGTTGGAAGTTAAATGGCTGTAATAAAACAGTTTGAAGTTGAAAGGGGCTTGCTTTTAATGCTGATCATGTGTAGCTCCTTCAATTTTTTTTATTGATGTTTGCTAATTTCTTCGAATATGAAGCATCGCATTATTCTGTTTTTATAACTCTGTGGATTAGAGCACTTCAGAAAGAGCAGAACTATGTGCGTTACTTAACGTAATTATAACTCAACAGCTATAAATGCCAGGATGGAATAACTGAAAACATATGCTATGTGCCTGAAATTTTAAGGATGGTGAAACTGTCACATTAGTAGCACGCAGCATGTTATAAAGAACTCCCACAATGTAGCAGTTGTTCAAAAGTTGTACCCATCCGGTCATTCTATCTTTATAAAAAGATATATAATACTAGATGGTGATTTATCCAAAACACAGCTGTGGACTAAGTTGAATGTAAAAATGAGGAGAAAAAAAAAAAAAAAGAAGGAAAGAAAACCCTTTTAAATTACAGTTTCAAAGCAGCATACGCAGAATGCGAGAAAAGCATTTCCAGAAAGTCCGAGTTTTATTCTCCAGAGACTTTATTTGGGGGGAGAGATGGGAGGACAGGTGAGGGAGCGGGAGAAGGCAGAGGAGCAGTCCCAGCCCGACAAAGGCAGCCCAGGGCACCCAGGTCAACGTCAACCGGGCATCGCTGGGAGCCGACCCCCGACCCCAGGCACGCCGACCCGGGTGCCCTCCGCCGGGGGCAAGGCACAGCCGGCCCGGAGCCCCCCCAGTAGCACTGACGGCGGCCGCCGTACCCCACATCCCCACGGACGAGGTTAAACTTTTACATTTGGGGAGCCGTTTCGCACCGCTCCCGGCGGGGATGCTCCCGGGGCTCACCCTCCGTCTCTGCGGCCCCCATCTCCGCGCCCAAGGGCCGGGGGGGGGTGCGCTGCCCGCACACCCCAAGGCAGCCCCTTCCCCAAAATCGCGGGGGGAGCCGGCGGGGCTGGGGGGCGGGACCCCGGCACGGGGGAAGCCGCGGAGCCCCCCGCACCTGCGGGGATGGGGGGACACGGGGGGGACACCGGGGGGCAGTGCCGCTCACCTTTCATCCAGTCGACGACCTGGCTCGGCGACCACTTGCTGACGGGCTCCATAATGAGGGCCATGGGGGGCTTCGGCGGCGCGGGGCTCGAGCGGCCGCCGCTCTCCGGGCGAGGGGCGAGGTTGTGCGGGGCGCCGGGACCGCGCTGCGCGGAGCCGGGGCTGCCCCCGGAGGAGAAGGATGATGAAGAGGAGGATGAAGAAAGCCGCTAAATCCCCGCTTGCCTCCGCTCCGCTCCGCTCGCTCGCCGCCTCTGTGCCTCTCTGGGGATTTCAGTTCATGTTGCCGGCTCGGCAGCAGGGGGAGGAGGAGGAGGAGGAGGAGGGAGGAGGAGGAAGGGGAGGAGGCGGCAGCAGCAGCGCGCTCCGACGCCTCCCGCCCCCGTGGACCCGCGGGCGGCGGCGGCAGCTCCCGGCCCGGCTCGGCACGGCCCGGCCCCGCCGAGGGGTCGCTCCCCGGCGAGCGGGGGACTGCGGCTCTGCGGCTCTGCCCGCACCGGTGTCTTTTTCTCCTCCTGGCGGAAATGACGAGGCGGCTCCTGCCACCCGAAAATATCTCCCAGCGCGATGGCAAGCGGCACCCGACGGCCGCCCGGGGCGGGGGAGCGGCGGGGGGGGGGGGAGGCCGGGATGACTCGCAAGGTGCGGGGGGGGGGCGGTGGCAGCGCCGAGCACCTGCTGCAGGATGGCCGTGATGCTCTTTGGGGGTTATTTATTTATTTTTCCCCTTGAAAAAAAAGCATCTCCGCGTGGGTGGTGAAGGGTTTTTTCTTTTTTTTTTTTTTTTTTTTTTTTTTAAGGAAAGCCCGGCTATTAAAATGCCTGTGATGGGCCCGCTGGCGGGTGGGTGCGGGTGATGGGGGGTGGCTGGCTGCTCGGGGAGGAGAAAGAGGAGGAGAGGTCCTAACTTTGCCTGCCTCGCCCCCAGGGTGAGGTAATGGGGCTGCTCAGCCCGCAGCAGCGGCCCCTGAGGTGCAGCACCGAGGGGTGGTGGCTGCAGGTGCGAAAAAACAGTCGCAGTGCCTGGGAGCTTCAGAGCTGCCTTCTCCTCCTTGTGTCCCGTCCACCCCCCCATGGGCTGTGTCGTCCCGGAGGAACGAGGGCTTGGCCTGTGTCCCCCCCCCCCTCAAGAAAGGCAGTTCCCACAGCCCCCGTGCCACAGCGCCTGGCTGTAGGAGCCGCTCCCAAGCACAGGGGGATTCCTCCTAGGATGGCCGTGGGTGCTTCTCAGGCACCCTTTCCAGGAGCCTCTCCCCTCCCAGAGAGCTCCAGGAGGAGCAGGAACACCGCCAAAGGGTATTCTCTTTGTGACTTGGTCAGTGCAGAGCTCTGCCTACATTTGTATTCCCCCTGCTTCTCCCGCCGAGGCGACAGCCATCGAGATGTCCCCTCTGCCGGCGTCGGCTGCAGAATGCCAGCTGCTGACGCTGACATTTAATATCCGTACGTGGGGAAAAATGAGGATTCCCTCAGCCCTGAAGCAATGGTAAAGGCATCCCTCTGCATAGCATGGGCAACGACACGAGTTCTCTCATTTCATTAGGTGGGACTGAGGCAGCGAGGGCCAGCAGGGATGGTAACCTCCCCCTGGAGACAACGGAAGGGGTTCCCTAACGTCACCTGTGGCAGCATTATTTACACATTAAAGACTGCATTTATAGTTGAGAAGAAAGTTCCTTCTACGGAGAAACGAGGCTTTGACAGTATAACTTTCCTCAGATTTGGCCTTAGCCATGTGTCTCTTGTGTCATACCCCTGCCAGCACACTGACATGGCAGTCTGCTTCTAAGGTTTCATTACCCAGAGCCACTGAAACAATAAACTTCTCTTGCAAATTAGGGCTGACTTTTTTTTCCTTATGAAAGGCTTGAAAGGTATGCAGGTCCTTGCATACTGGGTTATTGTTGTTGAAAGAGCGTGTCATAATTTTAATTAGAAACCTGTGTTTTGAAAGGTTTAGAAATGAATACCTAAGATCAGACTGAAACCTGGCATATAATTTATAACACCGTTGTGCAATTCTCATTGTGATGAAAAGTCCTTTATGGGTGAGGAGAGAGGAAGTAAGTTCTCAGAGCATGTGTACCAGATCCTATACTTCATAATTACAGAATGCATAATGATCCCTACAGATTGGCAGAGTAATCTGGAGCTAGAGCTGTTTTTTTCAGTAAAGCATCTGTGACCCAGTACTGTACCAGTGGTCAGCACCTATTACTTTAAATCCCCTCTGTAGTTGTTCTGGCAAATTATGGAACAGTAAAAGGGAGCTTACTCCCCCGCTTCAGTACATAGAGGATGTGTAGAGCACAGGCTCTAATTACCTTTATTGTTCTTTTCATTGAGCATAGCAATCTCATAAGTACTAGGGTAAATCCTGCTTTTACTCGGGCAAATGTTCTTGTTTCAGTCTCACTGAAGACCATTGGCTTGACCACGGAGAGGAGGATTTGGATCAGTATGAGTGATGATAAAATTATCCAGCTGTAGTGTTTAACTCAATGACCTATTACTGCAATGAATTCTATAGTCAGGACATGCACTACATAAAAGTATTTTTTTTTTTTAATTTGCTCTAAATTTATTACTGCCTGATTTTATTATTGTTCTCTCTTTCTAGGGTAAGAAGTCCAAAGGAGAGTTGAATGACTTTTCACACTGACCTTCTTAAACTAAAGTATCTCAGCCAATGTGCCTTAACCAAAGTCTTTCAGCTATTTTCATTTTTTATTTTAGTGGCCCTCACCTTGCAGTCACACCTGCATGAGTCAGGCCTTTTATGTAAAGCATATGGGGCATGCTTCTGCACAGATGCTGAACTGCAGAATTGTCCTAACTCATATTTTATAATTACTCTGGTCCACATAGTGCATTAAAAAGGACTGTTTTTGTTGTTGTCATCATTGTTGTTATTTTAATCTAGATATATGTGTCTTTATTAGGTAACTTTAATATGTAGTAAATGTAGAGGTAGACACAGTAAAATTCAATAATCAACGAAAAATAAAAATAAAAAGCGTGAGTTTACAATTGAAATACAAGCCTAAACCTGGATGTATGGACTATATAAATCTGCTTAGAATTCATTTCTCTGAATGTCCTTGGGCATGGATGGACAGCCCCAGAAGGTAAGTTTGGACACACACACCTTCTGGATCACCACCTCAGCTCACAAGCTCACAGGAGAAGGTGTTGCCTTTTTGTTATGGTGCACTGTCAAAAACACAGCTCCCTAGAGTTTGGCCAGCAAACGTAGCTGCTATGGTAATACAGACTGTAAATAATGTCAGGTAATAGTCCAGATATGACCAATAATCTATTTTTGTTCCTATTTTTTCAATAGGACAACTCAGCCTGAATAAAGGTGACAAAATTAGATCTGAGCTCTAACAATGGCATAGTAAATGGCATTTGTTTTATTTGGAAGAAGATAGACTCAACAGTGGCTACAAGCAATGGATATAAGCATAACTGTGGATTTCTCAGAAATTTCATGGATTTTCTGCTAGTGTCTCTAGAAAACATACAAGATGCTTAGCAATGACAAGTTGAAATCCTACCCTGAATTTAGGGAAAAGAATTCATCTTTCAAACGATTGTATCTGATGCTGGATGTAAAAACAAGTTCTTCTAGAGGAAGGAAGATGAAAACAAGTGGCAGGTAACCTAACAATAACTAAAGCTGAGATCTAATAAACTCACTCAAATTAAAACAAACAAGCAAACAGAAAACAAACAAACAAACAAACAAAACTAATACTTTATTTAAGTTAAGAAAGCTCTTTTGTGTTTTGATCAGAAAAAAAAAACAAAAACAAAAAACAAAAAAAAAACTTTTTTTTTACAAGATGCACATTTTGGGAAGCTTTTTTTTTTCTACTTGGTAAGATTTGAACTCTTCCATTAGTATTAGCTTACGCTGCAAATATCTGGCTTGGATGCTGTACCCACATCACTAAAGAGTAGCAAGTTGCTATTCTCCTTGAATATGGGCACTGGGTTTGTCCTGTAGCTGGTAGGACTGCCTTCTGTCCTCTTTTCCCAAATCCTTTCATCTTCAGAATGCTGTCAGGGCTGACCCCAACATGTGCAAGATTTTCTCTTCCTGCCAGGGCAGATGTCTCCCAAGGAAAAGTTGGAATGACAAGGTGTAGGGGAAATAACAAATGGCCTTCATGCCAGGATCTATAGGCAAATAGAGGAAGAAGAGGAGGAGGAAGGTCCAGGTGCGGAAAGGTAATAAGCTTCTGAAAAAGGAGGATTGTAGAAGCAGGGCAGATCAGGAAAATTTAGAGGAACAAGAGGGCTCAGATGTAGTTGGAGACCCAAGCCAGCTTGAAGGGCTGTCCGTTGGGCTCTGTGGATGCAGGTAGGCAAGTGACAGTGGGGTGGGAGAGGGTCCCTGGGTGTGAGACCTGGAGGACGGTGCAGCTCTGGGACCATGTGAATGTGAAGAGACAATGGGGTCTAGGAGAGAAGGGGGACTCCAGGGCATCTGGGATCGGGGTTGCAGGAAGAAACCCACCACTGGCTGTGATAAGTCCCTCTCTGGAGGTTGAGGATGTGGGCAGGGCTTAGCAAAACCTCTTAACAAACCCTTTCAGTGCTAGAGGAGCACGGAGGCATGACGGCAGTGCGGAGTCCCATCTCCGGCTCACTCAGAGCTGTAGGGGCTGCCTGGGGCCTTCAACCCCTACCCTTGCAGGCCCTGCAGCTGGCTGGCACGCAGCGTTGGCGCTGCCCACGGGGTGAAGAGGCCAACAAGACAATGGTGCATGCTTAATTTCAGGCCCACATTTAGATCTCTCTTTCCTCGTTTCTCATTACTCATCTCCTTCAACCAGTTTGAAAGCACAAGCAAAATAGGATTTCAAAGGCAAATGTCTTACCCTTAGAGTATATGCTTTACATCCCTGATGGTTTAATTTGACATAAATATTGGAGGGTGGGTGTTGTGCAATTGATATTGTTTTTGTATAACCAGAAATACAAATCATAATCCCCCAAAGATGTTTAATAAAGTATTCAGAACTCAATTAAGGCTATTAAGAGATTAGAAATTAGA